CACATTCTATCCGGGATTGGAGAACTGACGGAGGTTTCCTCAGGTGTTTGTTGCATTCGCTGGGTGGCATCGACTGTTTAGCTATTTTATGTTCCTCTAGCTTGTCGCAAAATGGAAGCAAAATCTTGACCAATTTATGAATAGCTTCCTTTTACGCCCAGCCTCATATTTCATTCATTGATGAATTTATACCGTATTTCATTCAACTGATAGACGACCGTCTCGATATTATTCTCGGGGTCTTTGTTCACACACCCAATCATCTCATAACCTCTTTCGGTCTAAATTATATTTGACTGTGCCCACGAGGGGTGAATCCGCTTTAGACAAGATAAAGATTACTCACTCGGAGCATCGTGTATCCAAACTGGCAGCACCCGTTTTCTCGAGCGATTACGCCTTGATTCTTGTAAGACCAGTACAATACTTCCATTCTATTCATAATACACTCAAAAGAACCAACAAAATCACAATTCACTTTCTCTCCCGCAGAAACACTCTTATTCCATGAGGGTCATTTCTTTACGGGTTTCCTTCTGTCATGTTTCACATAATGGATTTAACCTACTCGACTAAACATTTAGCCACATGTTCTGAAACTCTCTTTGTTTGTAATGACAAAACAGCAGCTTCGCCGTTGAAATCAATCAGAAAGCAGAACGAACGACCTAACAGAACTGGAGACTTAGTGGATGTTAAGCATTATTCAAACCTGATCAAACGTGAATTCAAAATCAAAGTTTTATTATGGGCATTACTTACAAGCAGGTGCTTTCCTTGTCCCATAGGGTTTTTACACGAGTTCAATTGTAACAATGATGAACTAAATTCCACATGAGGTATTCGGTTGTGTTATGTGTGCTCATAGATGTTGGACTTCGAAAGCTCTCTGCATTGTACGACATCCAGCTTATAGAACATATCAGTAGGAAACAAATTTTCTAAGGTATAGAGCCAGAGCCGAAAATGCGGATTTTGCAACGGATTTGAGCAGTGTTACTGCAGCACGTATCCGTCCATCAAGCAATGCCATCAACTCATTTTTTTGTATGACATCGCCCAAGAAAATCCCATTTTGAAAAAAGAAACTTTGGAGCTTTGGCATACTATGAAAACCACATTCAGCACTGATCTCTCGGTATTTTATCATCACTTCTCAGGTATGGCGCCCATTTTCTTGGTAAAACATTTGCACCATTTTAAACATTTCTTTAAAGACCTGCCCTATACCAAACTGCTGGAAACCGGTAACAATTTTTCTCTTTCCAAAATGCTCTAATTGAAACGTTCTAATCAAACGTTTCCGTTCTATTGCTTAAACGTCTAGTGGCCTGAAGTTAGCAAAACTTGTTGTCCTTATGCACATGCACCCTCGTTTTGCGTCCTGTATAATCCTCTTCAGTTTGTCAACATACTAAAGAGAGCCAAGCTAGATGCAGTTTTCTCACCCGTAAACAAATTTCACGAATCCTTGAATGACTGAAAAATTTGTCTATTGTGTATGAGTGGACTACTCATCTCTTTTTGATTCTACTCCTTGCTTCCTTCTCGTCTTTTTCGTAAACTGGAGACCTTGGGATTTCACAGGCAAATTATAGCTTGGTTTGCTCATTACTCTTATGGGGAAACTCAGTATACCAGTGCAGATCAGAGGAAGTGCAAACAATTGGTGAACCACTCAGGGGTACTCCAATGTGCTGTTCTTTAACCATAAGTATTTTATGCATAAATGAGCAACTTTTCTTTCAACTCCCCTAATTGTCTCTTTAGATGCGCTAACAATGTCAGGATATCTCCGGTTCTTCCAGAAGTTTCTCAATTTTCTCACAACTTGGATAATTTTCAACAATTTTCCATCATATCCGGTCTTTCTCTCTTTTAACCTCTCCAAATATTTCGAATGTCTATTCATCTTAACCGGCACCGATTTGCTCTAAACCAGCATCCCGGGTTGGCTGTATTAAGTGGGCTGCGGGGCTTCGTCGATGACAATCTTCATTAGACCTCTCAAATTGAACGAATGGTCAATAAACTTAAACGACTTACTTTGTATAGTCGTAAACGTCGTATTAAACAGTTGATTATCTCGAAGTTCGCTTACCATCGTGTTTCCCGGTTTTGCTTTATTGTTCACGAATTACCTTTTTAAACCTAAAGAAAGACGTTAAACTGCTTCCATGTAGACTGACCACCGTTAACCGTGTGTCTTCAATGCTGCTAGATTAGTTGCAAACGAACATTTGCGAATGTAACTTGTATGCATATGAAACGTTTGCACGTAAGATTCCAATCAAATCCATATATCTATGGTACACAGATTTAAATTCTCGTCGTCCCCATCCGTCAACTAGATTCCAATAACGTTGTTTTCCCACGCATAAACATATATGGTAACTCTAATTTACCCTCTTTTGTACGTACTTAAATTAAAGGAAAACAGTTTTTCACGTAATTTGGTGAAAGTTTTGGATATAAAGTTTCTTTCATCTATCTCTAATTTGTTCCGTACTAACTGAAATATAGGCTTCATGCCAATTAAAGTTTAAATTAGATTAGAAATTTCACTATCAGTGACTCAGAACAACATGCCAATGAGGAGGCTGTAAAAATTCCACCCAATGTCAAACGATAATTGGTTAAATTTACATCGACTCAATTCGGTTTAAAGACTTTAAATCAGTTCTTCAACTCTCGACCAGTTGCGGAGACGAAGATATTGTCGCTTAATTGTAGGGACCGGTATGCAGAGAAAGTTTTGGGTAATTTGCAAAAGTTCATCCTTCAGGTAAGCTACGCACAATGAAAAGGATCAAGTATCCGCGCACAATTTAATAATAAATTAATGGATAAGCAATTAATCATTTTAGTCCTTGAATTATTTGCGCACTGCACCCGTTAACTCTGTTCAGACTGGTCGTACACAAATCCGGATACGACACCCAGCACTTGGTCCAAAAACTATCCCTTGTACGATGGTCTATTCCAGTCCCCCATCGAAATTGAGTCGCCGAAAACGCAGCACGATCCCAGTTTGAAACCAGAATGGATCAATCATGCTGATTGGAAAACTGTTTTATTCACCAATATTAACAAAGGATGTTCTAGTGAGAAATTTGCATGATATTTTGTTGAATTGTTTGTGAAAGTATTCGTCCAAGTCTGTTATTGGTGAATTGAAACAATTGAATCATCTCGGTAGGATTCCACTCACAGGCCTTTGTGCTTAGTATAGGAAATTACATCAAATTCATGTGAACTCATTATTGCCTCTGAGTGCAAAATTAACTCGTTCATATGTGTCCCTTCAGCTCTGATAACTTATGTACGGGTAGGTCAATTTCATCAGGCTTCCACAAAAGCGTGACACATGAAATCACCCTGTGGTCAGGAACTATTTATTAGCAAATTTATTACGCTTTTGATAGAAGCACAAAATTACCTACCCTGTCATTCTTCCCGCTCATACGTTCAGTCAATGTCGCCATTCCCGATCGCACTTGGCGGATGTCACTCCGAAACAAGGTTCCCGGCGAGTACTGCATAAGTAACATACATTTCCACTGGGGATCTAACGGTTCAGTCGGTTCGGAGCACAAGCTGAACGGAAACCAGTACGGGTTAGAGGTGAGTCACGAGTGAATAACGAGGTGGATGTTGCCATCGAAAGTGGGCTTTGTGTTCGTGGCATACGAAAATATCGCTCGGTCAATATTTAATTTTTTCCCGTGTTCTACTTTTGAAACAGGCCCACCTGGTAACTTACAAATGCGATGAATTCAGTTCGTTCAATGATGCTAAATCCAACCCGTTTGGTTTAGCCATTTTGGCGTTTTGGGGCGAGGAGCAAACGGATGTGCAATCGAAGGACACAATGATGGGTTCAATGGATCAGTTGGATAATAGATTCACAACTACTCTCAAGCAAAATGAACCCACAGCCATTCCGGTGTCTAATCTGACAAAGCTGTTGGACTTGGTGAATCCTGCCAAGTATTACCGATATCTTGGTTCTCTAACAACTCCAGACTGTACACCCAATGTACTTTGGACAATTTTTCAAGATCCGGTACCTCTTTCCATCAAGCAGGTGCTATCCATGTTTCTGTTTATTTGAAATTAGTCACTCTGAAAACTATCGAAATTATTATGTGAATTTAATTTGTGTTGGTGATTTTTGAGGGAAAGTCTTTAGTTTTCACTCAAGTTGTTTATATATCTTCAGTGTTATTCTCACACGATAACATTCATTCGTTCAAAAATACTCCGAAGAGCCTTTTGCTGTGTAATTATGGATCAACATACACTCCACTTACTTGGCGGTTCCTCGAAATAGCTTTTACTTTTACCGTAACATGCATTCGGAGGATGATTCAGTAAAGTTTTTATTTCAAAAGTATCCTTCTACGGTCGATGTTGTCAGCATCGTTACTATGACATCGGTAGAATTTGAAATTTTTGGTTATTTATTTATACAATCTGAGGTTCATAATTTTTCAGAAATGTTTCACTCTTGTGTTTCAAATCAATATCCTACGATCACAACAATTCAGTCGACTTGAAAAAAGACGGTTGTGGCGAACAACTTTCAACCCATTCAACTTCTCGCCTCCGAAAGTTATCTTATCGACATGGTGGTCTACCACTCGAATGGGATCTTTGTGTTTGCGAGCAGTTTACACATGGTCTCTGTGTATGCACTAAATCGATCGGTTAGCTGAAAAACAATATGGGGGAATGACGATGTGGAATTGATCTCGTCCACTCACGTGATCTATGCTTGTTTTGTTCACTCCGTACATATCTGCGAAGTACCCTATTGAAAGCACAATGCACCAAACTCCATTTCAAACGCTTCTGTCATATCGTTTCCTGTGTTCACTGTTTCAATTTATTCCACTTGAGCTGTATGTAGTCCGTATCCGCATTGTGAGTTCCCCTATCAGAATTCACCAAAAACACTTCTCAGGTTTCTGGGGGTATAGCGCATCCCAGGTAAGCAAGCGCTACTGCTTATTGTTGCGTTACAATTATGTATAAGAGCCCTTTTAAACTGCGTCGTTTGCTTTTCCACCGGTTTTATTGATAATGGTAAAGTAATGGTTTGTATTGCAATCC